TTTATTTACCTTTATTTTGTGGGTGTGTGTGGGAAGTGTCTCATCATGTGGCCTTGGCTGACCAGGCACTGCTATATATATCAGGCTAGCTTCAAACTAATAAAGACCCACGTGCCTCTGCCTCCCAAGTGCTGAAATCAGAGGCATGCACCACCACGCCCTGCTTCTATGGTGATTTTGAAAGTCCTGAATAAAATGTTCCTCAATCATGCCTTAGTGTTATTAAATACCTTTAGCATATATAAGTTGTCATAACTTAATAAAAGGCTTTAGAAAAGTATATGAAAACAATATTTTTGCAAAGAAAATAGAAATTAAAGTAACAAAAAATTTAAATTATGAAAAACACATTTTTATAAATTTAAAAAAAAACATTGTATCTCATCCTATTACTTGCAATTATTATCATTTGTACGCTTCTTTCCTTTTATTTTCCTGTCTTTTATGATTGTTAGCTGAAATAATCATGCCTTTCTGGGCACCGTTACTTTTGTTTAACAGGGGAAAAAGAATACATTACTTAGATAATGGGATTTTTACACTTTGTAAAGTTCATTTAAACCATGACTTAATGAAACATAGTTTTTGACTTAATTTACACAAGACTTTGTTTCATAGACTTGGAAAATTGATGGCAATTTCGAAAGCAACAAAAGATATACTTATTTTAAAGGAAGGGCAAGAGGATTAAATGAAGTTATCTTTAGAAAGTACTCAAGAAAGCAACTGTACTCAGTAAGAATTCAATATTTTATGTTTTTATTTTCAATTTCTTCATCTGTCATTGAAATACCTTGTGTTTGTGATGAGACTGTCTTGAAACATCAGGCAGCCACAGTCGAACCCAAGGAGGTTAATACCAGAAGACCATACAGCTTCTTCCATAAGTTAAACTGAAAGATTACCACACACAGGCTCTGGAATCCTGCAGCTCAGCTCTTGAGTCTGCTCTGCAGGAATCATTGTCTAAATTACTTCAAGATTCGAGTTTCCTTCTTGTATATTTCCTCCTTAAAATTGGCAACCATAGTTACAATAATATGTTTCACGGCCCTTTTAGAAACATCTAATATCCAGATCATATTGGAGCTGGGTCCTGATTGGTTTTTCTCTGAAGTGGATGCTGATGCTGGCTTTCCACTTGATAGTGTACTGTGAGTCACACCATGAATATTGTGAATATGATGGTGGATGCTCCAGATTCGCTGTCTCTCAATAGAGTTGATATTTTCTGATGTAGGTAGGTCTTCTATCTATCTTTTGCTTTCATTGGTTAATTAATAAAGAAAACTGCTTGGCCTGATAGGTCAGAACATAGGTAGGCGGGGAAGGCAGTGAGGCAGACGCCATAGCTCTCCTCCCTGAGAAGGATGCAGGTTAGAATCTTCCCGGGAAGCCACCACCTCGTGGTGCTACACACATTAATAGAAATGGGTTAATCAAAATATGAGTTAGCCAATAAGAGGCTAGATATAATGGGCCAGGCAGTGTTTAAATGAATACAATTTGTGTGTTGTTATTTCGGGTGTAAGGCTAGCAAGGGAGCTGGGCGGGATGGAAAGCAGGCCTGCTCGCCTCATCACTACAATTTTCATCTCAGCAGGGAGTCATCTGGTGAGATTTAACTGCAAACTGTCTTGGCTAGTGGTTCAGATTTTTAAAAATTATATATGTTTTAATTTATTCCTTGAGAATTTCATAGATGTAAGCAATCTGTTTTAATCATATTTACTCCCAATCTCCCTCTCCAACTATCCCCAGACTTCATCAACATGTCAACCTCCTAACTTCATGCTTGTTTGGTTCTTTTAATACCCCGCCAGGTCCAATTATTGTCACACATATGTGTATGAGGGTGGGTCCATACACTGCAGCATAGTCAATCTATCAGTGGTCATACCACCAAAGAATATTCTCTCCCCAGCAACCATCAGCTTCCAAATCTTTTCAGCTAGGAGTGGAGACTCATGAGATCCTCTGTCCCTCATCTATGATGGAGTTTGACTTGTCTGATTTTGTGCAGGTCTTGAACAGATAACCACAGCTCTGAGATCATGGGTGTTGAGAGGATAGCTGCACTCTTAAATTCTTTCTGTCCTCTCTTCCATGTGTTCTTGAGCATTAATGGCATGGGGAGTTGACACAGAAGTCCTATTAATCATGACTTCTCAATATTTTGACCAGTTATGAACTTCTGCATTAATTATTGCCCATTATAAAATTAAGCTTCTCTTACCAAGGCAAAAAGAAGCACTTGTCTATGGGTACGGTCATAAATATTTAAGACAGTTTGACAACATGACTATTTAGCAAAACAATAAAAAAAATAGTAGGTTCCTACCAAATCCTATGACCTCTGCAGCCATGGGCTTTTGACCAGATTTATAGGATCAGGCATGAGTTATCTCCTGTAGAACATTGCTTAAATCTAGTCACAAAGTTATCGGTGATGCCCATAACCTCATGTCAATACTGGGCACATCTTATCTGGCAGGACACAGAACTAGGTAAAAACCACTGGTGATATTTCTTCCCCATTTACATAGGACCTCCCATCACCATACAAGCTAGTCAATAGGGAAGGAGTATCCTGGTCAGTTCCAATTGATTTCTTAAAGTCCAGCAACTGAAGTGTCTTAAGTGATAGCACCTTCCCATCTAGTCATGGTGGTCAACCAAGAACAATGACAATATTCTGTATTGTTTCAAAAGCTTCTGGGACCTCCTGGAGCAATAAGTCAAAAAGAGGCATCCCATATCTTATACTAAAATTTACACTTAAAAACCCATGTCTTTGGAGAGCAGCATTGTTTATCTATGAAGAGTACCTCTGTACATACTTCTTATAAAATTTGTTTTAATTAGCTTATAAAGAGGTGGGTTTCTAAAAAGCTAACAATCTTAGTTTTGGCTAACCCATCCCGTTTCATGCTTCTATCCCTACTTAAGCCTTTAACCTTCAACATCTATCGATGGAGGAAGGTCATTGAGCAATAAAGAAACTGCTTGGCTGGCCCTGATAGGTTAAAGCATAGGTGGGAGGAGTAAACAGAGTAGAATTCTGGGAGGAAGAGGAAGTGAGGTCAGACTCTGCTCCTCGACAGCTCTGCTCTCTGGAGCAGAGACGCCAGGCTCTGCTCTCCCAGGCAACTCCGACCCAGGATGGACGTAGGCTAGAATCTTCCCGGTAAGCGCATCTTGGGGTGCTTACACAGATGATTAGAAATGGGCTAAATTAATATGTGAAAATTAGCCTAGAAGAGGCTAGATAGAAATGGGTCAAGCAGTTAAATGAATACAGTTTGTGTGTTGTTATTTCAGGCATGAGCTAGCAGGCGGCCGGGGTGCTGGGGACGCAGCCCCGCCGCTCTTATTTCAACAATCTATTAGCTTTTGCGTCATTTCCTTTATCATTATGAACCCTACAGTTTATCTTCCACATAGAAGGATGGTATTGTGATGATGCGATGACTTAAATAGAATTTAATGACAGAACTTGGGGCTCTTTCTCTCTGAATATCTCCTTTCAGAAACTGCCTTTACTTTCCGGTGACTCTGGTAGCCACAACGGAATGAATTGGGGTTCCTACCCCCATCCCATGATTTTGTTCTGCTCTCAGGGGGGAAAAAGCTGTAATAAATGGAAAATCACTTCTGACGGTTTCTTCTTCCAAAGAATACCTTTAAAAGAATATGTCTCCTTCATTACACGATTGAGTATCATGAATTTATTCAGGATCCAGTTAGCTATTAGAGAGGTAGGAACTCGGAAGTTATTGGTAAAATGGAAGGACAAGCTCTCTTCTTATTGGAAAATTTTGTTTAAATTCAAAGGTAGATAGGAATAATAATGGTATATTTTAAATATTTAACCTTGCTAAGTAAGAGTGAGCTTTGTCCATCCAACTGAGTCTTTGGTGTTCCTCAGTAAAATTCGCCTCATATAGATCCTACACACTTCCTATTGGATAAGGATCTAAGTTTATAGTAATAAACCAGTTGTGGTTCTGTTCTCATTGTGCTTCCTTATTTTCAGCTGCACGGTTTAGGACTGGGCCATTATGGAAGTCTTTCAGTTGTGGCCTTTTTCTCTCTGCTGCACATCGTTTGTTTTTTCCTTCATTCCTGGCTCATGTTCTCTACTTAATGTCAAGTCAGAGGAGACTATCAGTTGTCCAGTTCAGTTCCTGGTTTATCACACAGATTTGTTGCCTCATTGAGCTCTTGGGGTAATGACCATTGATCTTAGGTTGCTTCTAACTTTGCCTTTTCAGTATAGAGTTAACACATAAAAGACTATGAATGTGATGTGTTGTTGGCTAATATTTCATGTGTTATTAACTTCTATAGTTCTGCATGGACAATTTAATGGTAGAAGAGAAAGGGTTTGCTGCCCAATTCAAAAAATACATTGACCCTGCTCTGAAAGGATTTTTCTACAAACATGCAAAAATACCTTAAGATTGATTGTTATTTTTCCCCTTGAGAAACATAGGTAGTTAATCTAACTTTGAAGGAAAAGGCAAAAATGAGCGCTAAAACAAACCTAAAACTAAAATAATAACATAGGTGTGGAGGTCTATATTAGAATCCATGAGAAAGGACCTGGGTTTTATCACCTGCATCACACACACACACACACACACACACACACACACTACAAATAAAAAAAAGCTAAGGTTTTTGGATAACATTTCAAGTCATCATTAGACTAATACATTAAGAGTCAGAGGTCCACTTACCTTTTTACATTAGACTCAAGATTAGGAAAACATCAACCCTCATGGCTTTATACACGTGCCTTCTGTCCTGTCACGTTAGTTTGGATCCCCAAAATTTTCTGTGAAAACACTGAAAATCATTGACATTTTCAGTGTATCTCTACCATCTAATAGGAGCTTAATATTCATAACACAATGATTACCTTATAATGCAAGATATTCCATAACCTCCTAAAAACAAATAAATTACTGCTCACCAAAGAAGTTATGAGAGACCAAAACCATACTAAAGATACTTTATTGTCATTATTAGTAGATGTATTAAATATACACTTTAAAGGGAATGTACTGTCCACCTGGTGACATATAGCATGTTCACTGTGACAAAATAAATGGGAAGGTGACGAATGCATTTAAACAAAGAATACTTCTCAAAGACTACAGTATCTTAATTTCTATGTGTACCACAGGTATTCTATCAGCTCTCTACAAAACAAAGGGGACTGAACATTGGGAGTTTGAGAAGTTCATATGCCAGACATTCTTTAAAAACGAGAAAATGTTAGCATCCTGGAATAATTTCCATTCCTGGTCCACTTTCTGCCCACTGGAAAAAATTACACTGCTTTCCTTTCTCCAAAGGACATACAAAAAAATTCTTCCCATTATTAGGTCCAATCTTCAGCACAGTTCTCATAATGGAGCGTTTGCCATGTCTGCAGAGAGGGAAGGCTAAGTCTGCCCACTAAAGGAGGAAAAGACACGGTATTAGGAATGCATGAAGTTCCAGTGTGAACAGACAACCCTAGCCTCATTTGACGTGATACTGATTTCACTGCTGTGACTACCAAAGTGAATAATTCACCAGAGTAAATTATTAGGTGTTGTGTATTGAAAAGCCATATGCTATAAGAAGTATTTTATTAGTAAACTTGCTAGAATCACACATTACTTGCCCTAATTGGAAACTTCAATTTATCTAAAAACACATAAAAAGTTTCTCCCGTTATTCAAAGTAACTGAGAACTCTCAGAATCTTGATAAGAAGCTATCAGCAGGATCCAAGTTTTATGTTTGTTATAGTTAAAGTATTATCAAATATTGATTATAATTGTAATACTACATTCTATCATCGCCTAGAAAAAGAAAGAGCCCAGCAGGTACTTGCCCAGACTAAATTAAGCAAACCTATTCCTAGTATTTGGTCTCAAGAGAGAAATGAAGGAGGCTGTGATAGTATTAGCAATATAAAATTACTAATATCATTTTCCATTATATTTAAAATGGTTCTTGAGGAAATCTGTGAATCTATCATGATAGAAGCATATCTTAGGCATAGGACCTAAAATCATCAAATTTCACCTGGCAATGTCCTCAAGAAAGTTTGCACACTGGGCAGAGAGACATTTTATTTCTCAGTAAGACAAACCAGAAATGTTTCTGCTTCAGCACTGAAAGGGATCAACATTTGCCTTTTTCTATCAGATGTCATAAGGAGTTTAACTAATGATAAAGAAACGACTGTCTTTGAACATCAGACTAACATTCAGCATGGTGAGAATGGTGTACTCTGAGGAAAACAGAAGACTGATGGACGGGACACACATTTCTGTCCCCTATACCAGATACAAAGAATCGCCTGGGGCTGGATTACCATAGGCTGTTGTTCCCGTCTCCTCCACACCCCTCAACCAGGTTACACTTATAGTAGAATTCACTAAGGTTATTGTAAATCCAAGGCGATTATCAGCACGTATGCTGACTTTTCTTATGTACTCCACCTAATGCATAAGACATGGGTTTTAAAGAATTCGTATTCACTCTTTCTTAGTAACTTCATGCCTTTCTGCCTGCTTTCCTCCTTCTCTCCCTCCCTTCGTTTTTGCTATAGGGTTTCACAGTCCAGGCTGGTCTGGAATTCATTATATCTCAAACTAAAGACCTTCTCGTTTCAACTTCTCCAGTACTTAGAATCCAGAGGTGAAACACCACATCTGACCTCAGTATTTTTCTACCTATCATAATGAACAAAGAACAACATTGATACACTTGTGATTAAAAATATGAAATGTTGTATTAATCCAATAGCTATTCTATCAGTAATATTAATATTATTTGCTGAACAATATAGCACCATGCTTTACCCCGAACACTAGTATGACCATTTAAAATGGTGTGTAACTGTAATCCCAGAACTTGGGAGCTTCCTGCCACAAATAAATAAATAAATGATTGAGAGATAGATAGATGATAGATAGATAGATAGATAGATAGATAGATAGATAGATAGATAGATAGATAGATGAGTAAAGATGCAAGCACTGATACTTGCCACATTACAATAATTCAAATTCACTTGATGCATAGCAAGCATGGGAAATATACATACTTCAAAATACCCGCACTGTGCTTCTCTGGGCAGAGGGCAGGCATAAAACTGCCTCCCCTTGTTCTCTCCATCCTTCCGCACCACGCGGAGAACACAAAAGCGGTTGTGCTTCTTGCACCGAGGAGTGCCAGAATTTACAGAGCGAGGAGCATCCACCGTATTGGTTTGGAGTCCACTGTAATGACAGGTCACACAATAATGGTCGCCTAGCAAGCAGTACGAACAGGGTAACTCATACCACCTTGCCCCATGCACTTAGTTTTACAACTATAGAAAGCAACTTTAGGTTATCACGTTGTTGATTTTTTGTTTGGGGGGCAATTCTAATTGTAATTAACTTCTAAATTCACAATGTGTCAAAGGCACAAAATTTCTGAAAAAAAAGGAAAAAAGTGAATTCATACATGGTATATAGGACTTTTTCAAGCTTTCATTTCTGATGCTCAGTTTTTCCCTTACCATATATTACACCATATTCACACACTTCTATTTCCTCTGAGATATTCTCAAGTCTACCCGGACCGGCCACATCTCACAAAGCAAGCTGGGTTACAATCATATCTGACTATTTTCTCATCTGCACAAACACTAAGTGCACTGAGGAGGCCATCTTGTGAGCAGCTATTGTCCACTTTAAAACAATTTTCTGGGCCTTTCTTGGATCAGGGTTATTATTTTAGTCACAATAACATTTTAGTAAGAAACAGGCAGCTGGGAAGAGCAACAATATGCATTTTATGAGGCTTAGCAAGGGGGCTTTCATCTCTTTACAATTAAAACCCAGGGTGTTTGGAGATCATCCCTGTACACAGCAAACAAAGACCAAGAGGAGATCTTGTCCTTTAGCTATACATGCAATTTCTTCTTTGGAAAGAGAATAGAGTTTATAATTTTTAATTTTCTGCATCTTATATATTATAAGCAACAAATATATAGTGACCTGCTCAGAATAAAAGTGTTCATGTCAATGAATGGAAAGGATGGGCATTCACCCAGGTTGTAGAAGGTGGACTTAGCATGTGCAAAATGAGTTTGACCCCCAGCACCAAAACAAAACAAGTCCAGAATCATAACATTCCAATTTTTAAAAATTCTTTTAAAATAGTAAAATAGTCTGCTTTTCACATTGTGAGAAATTTCAAACAATAGCAACAATAATAATTGTCCTAGCTACCTAGAAATCAAGAGTATTTTCCTTTTCTCATGGCCTCCAAGACTAAATTTTGCAATATGTGTTTCAATAAGGATGCTTCAAGCAGCATATCTAATTGAAATGCTCAGAGAATATGATTATTTGTTTGTGGTGAAATTGATTTAAACTTTATAAAAGATATGATTAAACATATTAGTTTAAAAATATCTATTGGCAGAGACCTTAACCAATCTAAGCACAGCTTTGGGGCTGCTCATATAGCAGCTACGTGGAACACAAAAGTAGCTACAGTCATTACTATGGACAGCATTCTCATTAGATATTATTATCATTAAATATTTCATCAGTAGTAAATATCATTAAATCGTATTATCGTTAAATATTTCACCCACAACTATTTTGTTGCTTCTCTCTTCAGAGTGGCCAGGAGGTGATATTAATATCTTAGAATGATGGCTCACATCAAGTCTGGAATAGGAAAGCTGAGAGGTAACCACAGGACTTTTATTCTCCACACCTTTCCCTTGCACCAACAGTCTCTAGAGGCAATCTCAAACCATAACTTCCAGAGAAGCTAACTATCTGCATAGCTACAGAGAAGTCAATAGATGTCAAAACAGAAGTGGATTCATAAATAGTAATAAATTTAAGGGAGAAAAGAAGATGAGGGAAGGGTATTGGAAGACATAAGTGGAAAGGAGCATTCCATATCTGCACAGTTTTTATGTACATTTTAAAGCCCTGGCGGTTCAGGCTTGTAACTCCAGCTTTTCAGGAGAATGAGCCAAGAGGTTTGTTTTTTTCAAGGCCAGCCAGCTCAGTTTTAGCAAGGGCCTGTCTTAAGTTAATGTGGAAGGGTTAAGCATGGAGCTTGGCATTGCACATACCCACCATGAGAGAGGCCTTAGCTACAGCACCCACACCAGAAGAAGAAGAAGAAAACAGTTTTATGCATGACTTCTAAAGTGCTGCCTTTGGTAGTACTTAGTTCAACCTTTCCTAATTCACTTGCCTTATGTGTTAACCCAAATTTCACAGACCTTACTAAGAAGAACTTTCAATTTTTTTCTATGAAGCTTTTCTGGGGTAGAAAAGTGGGAGATGGGACTCAAGAGACTGCAGGCCTGCCTCTTCTTCATTTTGTCTTCCATGATGTCTTCTCTGGCATAAAGCTGGTTGTACGTTGTTCTAGTTGTTCTATCCTTGGTAGCCAGAATGTGGCCCAATAACTAGAACCTTTAGGATCACCCAGAAACTCCTCAGACACAGGGAGCTAATCGCCCCTCCTCCAAGTCCCCTTTGGATCAGCATCTGCTTGCTAACAAGAGTCCCAGGTGATTCATAGGCAGATTAAGTTGTGAAGTGTGGAGCTAATGGAACCAAGCTACTCCTGCCACCTGCGATCACATCAGCTCTAAATATGCACAAGCTATCCTGTTTTATGATAGAAAACATTATCCGGGCTAATTAAGTATTCAGCTTAATCGAGGATATCTTGGTTCCTCTTTGTTTCTATCATTATTTAAAAACTTTCCAAAGAGAGCAGAGCCTTTTCCTAGGTAAATTTGGCATAACGGACAGCTGAAGGTATTGTGGTGATTAGGCTCATCTTTTGAATATTGATTTATAAGTGGCATAGTGATATTTAGACCAACTTAGCAAACCCTTTTCAGACATGTATGCCAAGCTTGTGAGTCTCTGTGGCAACGATTCAATTTTGTGGGTTTTTTTTTTTTAACACAAAAATAACTAAACAGGTGTTTGTTGAATCTGGCCTTCCTGGCTGTAGTGTACTGGAATAGGCATCAATGGGATCATGGACAATGCTTGAGGCATAACAAGTTCTCCAAAAATAATAGAAATGCATAAAACATATGGGTTGCATCCTAATAGCTTAAAAATAAAGAAATCAGAGATCAAAAAAAAATCCCTGAGATGGAAATCTGTTCTATTAGCAATCATTAATTTAAATTATTGATTTTTATAGATTGAATGGTTTATTATAACAAAAATACTTCGTGGAAGTAAGTTTTTTACTAGTCAGTCCAAATGGATGTAGATTTGACAATCCAAGATTATTTCAAATATTAAAGTAAGCAGAAATTAAATGAGTGAGGCGAGTAGGAACTCCAAGAGGTGAGAGAGACAAGCGCAGGGCTTCCAACTATTGATGGGAACAGACATGGGGAAACAGGGAGGATATCAACAGGGCCCTTTACTCTCCCATGCGGGCCTTTGTGTGATATTCCGGCGAGAACACACTCTTTTTCTGAAAATGTATCACTATGTTTTCTTTGTGTTTACAGTACCTGGATCAAAGATTTAAAACTGGTTTTTAGAAGCTATTGTTAACTGCTTTAAAAAATCGTTCAATTATCTGATTTATCATCTGGCAACTGGATAACATGCAAGTATATTTAGAGATCAATCCGAAAATAGGCCTTATCAACATAGCATGCGATGTAACGGCAAAGAGATTGCTAATTGAGGGAACAAAAGTCAAATTAATTACCCTATGATTATTAAAGAAAATAGGCTGGCTATAAATTCTGAGTGGACCACCTGTTTTTAACAGGGCTTTGTGGTGAGCCTCTGTGAGGCATCGTGTCCATGAGAGGAACCACTCTAGCTGCCAGACGAGGAGAAAAATGAAATAAATGACAGTAATTTGCAATTTATTCCTTGTAAAGTAGCTGGGTGCAGAAGGGCTGCTGGGAGAATTCATTTCATCACTTGACATTTATTCTGCTAGTTGATCATGATTGATTGTAAAGTTTCTTCCTGATTTATTCTCTTCAACACATACAGATACACACACACAACTGTAGAGTTTCTTCCAGATGTTCTTCTCTTCAGAATACACACACACACACACTGTAGTTTCTTCCTGATGTTCAGTAAACACACACACACTCACACACACACACACACACACACACACACACACACACACTCTAGAGTTTCTTCCTNACACACACACACACACACACACACACACTCTAGAGTTTCTTCCTGATGTTCTTCTCTTCAGAATACACACACACACACACACACACACACACACACTGTAGAGTTTCTTCCTGATGTTCAGTAAACACACACACAGTTATAACATTTCTAGGCAATGCTGTGCACTGTGATTAATCGTATGATTCTACTGTTAATAGTTTATGAAGAAATCATTTAAATTTAAGTTTTCATTAATTTTTTAATCCTTAATTCATGAATAAAATCGTGGGTTTTTTTGTTTGCTTGCATGAAAAAAATAAAAAAAATATGCCAGGATATTTCATCTGGGTACAATCAATGGCACACTATTTTAAAGCAATCACCTCCACTTCCTTCCAGTTACACCACTGAAAAGCAAAACTGCCTAAAAGCTATTTTCTTCTCCAGGACCGCCTCCCAACTCAGACTGTAGCTCCTTCCTGATTTTCATCATGAGGCATCAATGAGGGTTAGAAAAAAAAAGATGCATTTAGCTACTCAGTTAAAAGTTCAGGCCTCCGTAGCTTAATTCTAATATAACAGGAGCATCAGATAAATGATTATGGGCAAAATATTTTGAAATAATCAGCTTCGGGTCAATCAACAGGATTAACTCATGGTAGAAGATATTGAGGTAGGATAAGAAGGTGGAGACAAATGCATATACTGGGAAAAAACTGTCTGGGAATTGTTATGAAATAAGCCTCAAGGATTCCCAGAGTTTAGATTAGGAGTTTCCAACAGGTGGTTCATCATGCCACCCCCAGAGGTAGAACCCCCGCATCAATAAAGCACAGGTAAAGGAACAGCGACAAATCCAAATTCCCCAGAGATTACTTCAGATTCCACAGTAACTGTCTGCCATTGGTAAGAGAAGACATTTACAGGAAGAAAATACATTATTTGCTTTCTTTACTCTTCATTTAAAATGTTACAAAGGGTCAGTGAGATCGCTCCGTGGGCGAAGGTGCTCAATGCCAGCCTAAAGACCCAGCATGCTTCCTGGAACCTACAGGGTGGAAGGAGAGAACAGACTCCGGCAAACTGTCTTCTCACCGCCACACATCACGCTGCCCCAAATACATTAACAATGTTTTAAAAATTAAAATGCTATGTATAAGTATAGCAACTGATTCGTGATGAATCAATTTGAAAGAAAAAAATGGTGGACAGGTAGTTTTCTGATAGCTGCTTATCTGGCTGTTGTTGGGGCATATTATTTTAAGGTGCGTGATTTTGTTTGAGCTGCGTTTGTTTAACTCTACGAAGCTGTGATTCTTTGCCTGTCTAAAATACCTGATGATCTAATAAGGAGCAGTACAGCCAATAATGAGGCAGGAGCAAGGATAGGTGGGGCTGGCAGGCAGAGAGGATAAGTAGAAGGAGAAAGCTGGAGAAGAGCGAGAGAACAAGGGGAGAGGGACATCAGGAACCAGCCACCCAGCCACCCAGCCACCCAGCCACCCAGCTACCGAGTAAGAGTGAAAGTAAGATACACAGAAGGAAGAAAAGGAAAAAAGCCCAGAGAAAACAGGTAGGGAGATAATTTAAGAAAAGCTGGCCGAAAAGAAGCCGAGCTAAGGCCGGGCGATCATAAGTGAGAATAAGCTTCCATGAGATTTATTTGGGAGCTGGGTGGCATCCCCCCCCCCCACCCCCAGACCACACCAAAGAGCAAACAACAGCCAACCACAGGCTGTGATAGAAAGGTGAGGGAATGAGGTCAGTCAGGGCGGTCTACAGCTCAGCTAACAATCTTCCGGCCATGTTGCTGGTAGTTTCAGGAAACACATCTGGTATGTGCAGAACTTAAGAGGAAATGTAATTTCATTTCAGATACAAAAACAGCATGGATGCTCTTGGGGAAATTTTGGTTAAAATAGGAGAAAAAAAATTCCACATGGCTAAAGATATAGCTACTTTCTTTAACACAAATGCAACCGTGGGTATCTCAGTTTCCCTATTTTAAAACAGAGGACGCACACTAAACTTTTATATATACTGGTTTTCCTCAGAGCTTTGCTTTATCGGGAAGAAATGCTTGGGCCCCACAGACACACTGTTACCCACGATGCTCTGACTTTTCCATAATGAAGCAGTGACATGTATGCAGTAGAAGCGAGAGCTCAAATTTGGGTTTCTACTCAGGCTGGTGGCATGGAGGCTAATAATCTCTCCCAATGATTGACAAGCTCTACCTCCCAATCAGGCACACGGCATGAGGGAGAGAACTGGGACCGTTCAGGGTCGTGTATGGTTAGACTGATGGGAAGGTTAGGGGAAGGGAATGCATTTTCAACTCATGACAAATTTACTGGGATACAACTACCTTGGAAACCAAGGAATATCTATATATCAGATATCAGCCGATACCTGGTACGATCGTGGGTGTTTTAAATAGTTTTTTGTATTTTCTGATATTTTCCAAATATGTCATATTGAACATATGGTTATAATCTGGAAATGATGGAAAAAAAAATACTTGGAGTTGCAGGGAAATCTGTCCCCTTTCTTCCCTTTACTAACATCAATTAGCTAGAGAAAGAAAAGCAGGCAAATTACTATAATGATTTTTCAGTGCTGATGTTACGAAGAGCAATTGAACTTTCTTAGCAATGGATGGATTTTCTGCCATCCTAGAACATGATGCAATACAAATGCCTTACTGATCTTAAAAATGCTTAGAACAATAGCAACAAAAACTTAATGCCAGTACTGTAAAGACCCAAGTTAGAAATATCATACCTGTTAGAAAGTCCAGGGCTGTAACGTGTGAGGTCTGCTCCTGAAGAGTGAGTGGTTTTCAATTTTTTATGTGCTGAACTAAATAATTTAGGCTGGGCACAAACTATAGGCGATATGTTTACCTTGTTGGCTGGCTGAATGATAGAGTTTGTTCCTTCGGTGGAGGGGTGCTGTAGATCACTAAAACATATGTCTACAGGAGGAAAGTTTCGAAATCCCCTGCCTGTTATCTGGTTTGGGCTTTTCTTTCTGACCGAAGTCCTGGATTTATTACTGAAATCAGTCAGGACAAGGGTCGTACTTCCAAATACAGTTTTCCTGTTGATCTTCACTTCTTTGTGTGTATTCTCAAAGTTATTACAAGGGTACTTCACTAAGTTGCTAAAGTCAACGGAATTCTCTCCATTCCTGAGCACCGAATCTGGAAAAAAGAGATAAGGAATTCTGCAGTATTCCTAGAAATACAATATACTGGCTATTTGAAATAGCGTTGATTTAAACTTTTAGTTCATTACACTACGCAAATATGCACAACTGTGTTGCCAAGCTCACTTGAACAAGTTATAGCGAGTTAGCTTCTGCTTAGGTAATATATTATCAACAACCTATAAAAACCAAAAGATGGAGTTAGCAAAGATATGTGTTTACTTTTGTATGTTTAAATATCCAACGATTGATTATTCAGCTATCAATTTTGTTAGTATTAGTCAAAGTAATAAGCATTTATAATTAAGAATGATGTCCCATAGGGCTTCAGTTCTGCAGCTAGAGACTAATGTATAGGCAGGAATATTTATAGGATTGACAGGACCAAATGAAGTTTACTTATGATTAGTAAAGAAGAATTATAGACACTTGATGTTGATGATAATATGCTTCAACAAATACCCTACAATTTTAGAATCAACATCATGATATGATCTATATTGTGCTTAAGGTACACATCTTCATATTAACAAGAAATAGTTGATTAGACAGATGAAGGCATTTCAGAATGTACAAAATTAAGACTGGTTTTCCCGGCTTCTTTCTCTCTTGGGTGACTGAAACTGAAGGAGGTGCAGTCCCTCCTGGGACTTAGCAAAGCTGTCTGAGGGGAGATGCCTGCCTCACAGGCCCAGGGAACAAAAAACAATACAGCCGCTACCACAATGCAGGGGTCCTGAAGTCAAGAACGAACTTTCTCATCTCTAATTGGAGAAAGAAATAACACTTGGGGAACACAATGGGAGCCGCATCAGCGAGATGGCTCTTAATCACAGGTTTCCTCGGAGGTTTTACATTCTCTGAACGCTTGAGATTGGGAGTTCTAAAGAGTTATTTTGAAGGATTTCAATGAAATCAGTACAATTGTCTGGGTAAAGATTTTAATAACAAGGGGTAGGAAGGAGAAAGAAGGGAAAAAATTCAGCATTTTTCAATTCCACCTGCAAAGATATTCTTACAGAATTCCTCCCTTTCAATTTATGAACCACTTGGACTGAATAACAAACTGGAAAGTTGCTGAAATCTGCATAAAACAAAGCTTTATTGAATAATTCATTAGAAACAGTAGAGAACAGATGTGATCATCTCAGTGCTTGAGATACAAAGGCACATACTGTTTTAGGAAAAGCATCTTTCCCCTTTCTGTCTTCTTTTTTTTTTTTAATATTTTCCACAGACTATGAGTTCAGTTTACATAAAAAAGGCTGGCAATTCCCCTAACCATCTGAGGAAGAAAGCACTATAGTTGGTTGTGGAATTAAAGGTGGAGCAAAACATATACCTGACTCTACGGTAAATGCTCTTACACATCTTATAAACTCAGACTCAAATGTCACTCTTACCAACAGGCCTTGCGGTCAAGCAAGCATCACAGGACAGAGCGGAGGGTTTGTTTATGAGCGTGCAGACTGCACAGGACCACTCCTCTTCGCATTTCCGAGCCACTGAGTCCATCAGGCAATCGTTTCTCCTGGAAGTCCAGCTGCTTACAGCTTTGTTGGTTGGCAGTTGGCTGTAAGATAATTATTTAAATCAATCATTTATATTCTTAATGCTTTATTATACATTCTGGAGATTGTAGAAACTATTGTAGAAACACTGATACCCCCAATTCCATTTATTATTATTCAGAAGTCATTAGCGGTAGATACGAAAACTGTATCCTAAGCCCCACTGACTGCTGCTAAATTAAGAAATAAGCCTTTTATAGAGAATAAAAGTACTGTGTTAAAAAAACACCAAACAAACCAAAAGCATTTGCTCTAACCAGCAGGAAGTATTTTTGCAAATATTTTAAATACTACTTTTCAAAAGCAAATATTATTTATTCAATTAAGTCAGAAAAAGAAAAGGTTAGGCTTAAAATAGAACATTGGAAAAATGAAATAGAGGACAGACACTTGAAAGAGAGCAAGAAGTAAACAGGAGGGTTAGGAGGGAGAAATAGGAAGGGAGAAATGACATAATTACACTATAATCCCCAAAACAACCTAGAAAAATGTAATTACACTAAAATCTCAAAAACAAAAACGAAAAAATAAAAAAAGAGGAAATGAGAAAACTTTACATGATTTCATGTTTCCAGAAAAGAAAACTCTAGAAATTCTAGATTTTTTCAATAGTATTTGCTAAGCAACAAATTGATTGCTTAATCCATAATGCTGAAAAAAAGTGTTAGTTCTCACAAAGCCCTTTTACATCTACTAAGTCATCCCTCTTAGATTTGTAGCTATTAGGTTGAGAAACAAACAGCCGAGATTAGCCCGATTTTCAGTGATGAATGTAAATCACGATCTCTACCTGGAATCTACTGGCCATGACTGACAAGAAAGCGCCCTTCTAAAGCTTTAGTGCAGTTCCTGTCCTGGGTCCCCTGCAGTTAAACAGAGCCTTAGCGGTGCCCCTGATCCCAAGAAGAGCTCCTTCAGAAAAGCCTACGCAGCTTCATTTCCTTCAGAGCCCAGGTTCCCCGACTCTCAAAGGTAGCCTTGACTTCTGTAAAGTCTTGCTCCTTATACACAAACACACCAGCCCTGGCATCCAGGCTTGATTGCTAAAATGATGAATAGCGCAAGGAAACCTGAAAGGAAGACACATCTCATTACAATTTCTTTATCTTTACCTTGACTTCTAACACTTTGCATCTCATCTGCGTATGGAATGCTAAACCATTTGTGCCTCTGACCTAGCTCCTGGTCACGACTTACTCTGAAAGGCAGAAGGCTGCATTTATTCCTAGTGGAACACAATTTAAGGGACCTTCAGAGTCTCCGTGTGCCTCGAAGCCTGAACTATTGTCATCTCCTTTTGTAATCGTAAGAGGATGTACACAGTTTCACCTAGAGGCTTTTGGATCCCTCTTTGCTGTTGTTGTTCTTCCATTTCTTAGTCACCCAGTAATAAGTTTTCCCCAGTCTTGGCATGGCTATGTAATAGGAGTTCACCCTTAACATGCTGTAGTAGGCTGAAGAAGGGCTCTCCGAAGACACCAGGCCATATCAGGGAACTGAAAATGTTGATTTATAAGGAGTCTTTGCAGATGAAATTCAGGATACTGACCTAGGAAGAACTGTCCTTAGGAGAGGGGAAAGGCAGACTTCATACACAGAGAAAAGGGCAGAGGCAAAGACTCTATACAGTGGCACAGCATTTGTCAAGGGGTGCTGGCAGTCACTAGAGGCTCAGGGAAGCAAGGGGTGGATCATCCCCGAGGACCTTCCAAAGGAATACACATCTGTCGGCACTTTATTTTGGTCTGATGAAATGACTCAAAGTTTTGGCATCCCAACTTGAGTGGATAAATTTCTCCTGCTTTTATGCTGAAAGTGTGGTACTTTGTCATAAAACCCAAATGACAGTGGTACAAACACAGTCCACGCATAGTCTGTAACTCCCCTACTTTGTTTCATAAGGGTATTAGCACTTTCTCAACGTAACTAGACAAAACTCTAGACTTCATCTGAACACGCCCTTACATCTTATACCCAGTCCATCAGCAAATTCTAAGCTTGATGCTCTGCAGCTCGGTATGTCTCTCTGACAGCAGAAGGCAGAGAAGGCAGGGGATAGAAGCATTAAGACGAATTGCCTGCTGGAGGCACCCTGACAGTACTAGCTATCTGGGTCAACCTGCACTTCCAGTCCTCAGGCTCTGGTTCCTAGAGCTTTTCAGCCAAGCCTACAAACTATCCCAATGGTCATTTGACCATATGATCCCTTTAGCCTATATTTTGTCATGGCAACTACAATCAAACTCTCTTCCCCAAAGAAGTTTATTGTATCAAGACTAAGTCACCATAGGGTTTCTTCGCATCTTCCAAATGCCCTCAAGTTGTCCCACCCTCCTGGCAGGTGAGGCCCACAGGAAGAACTTGCTTGTAAATCGCACTACTTTCTCAGTAACCTGCAGCCAATTACAAGCACTTTCTATCCTACATGGTTAGACCTGTGGATATATCCGAAACACCCAAGACTGGTGTGGTGAGTCTCCAAATAAGCTAGACATTTCCTCCCCGTCTTCCCCACATTCTGGTTCCCTTCTAGGACATTCTAGAATCCCTACTTCCGTCTACACGAAGCTTAGGAATATGACCTTGTTCTCACTTATAAGTGGCTATTGGGTGTAAAATAAAGGATAACCATGCTACAATTCATACACCCAGAGAAGGTAAGTAACAAGGAGAACCCAAGAGGGAAGTGCTTGGATCTCCCTGAGAAGGGAAATTAGAATAGATTTTGAGGGTAGACTGGAAGCAGGTGGGGATGGGAACAGGGGGATCAGGTGGAGGCGATGGATGGGGAGAACATTGGAGAAAGGGGGCATTTTAGAATGAGCTAATAACCCTGTACGATGGAAACTCCCAGGAATCTATGAGGGTGACCATAGCAAAGACTCCTAGCAAAAGGGAATACAGAGCTTGAACTCCTCTAACTTGGCCAGACTTCCAGTGGAGGGATTGTGACAGTAACCTAGCCACATAACTTTTGACCTACAATTTGTACTGCCTACAGATGTGCTAGAATAAAGGTGGCACAGAAATTGTGGAGATGGCCAATCAATGACTGGTCCAGTCTGAGACCCATGCCACAAAATAAGCCCATTCTTGACACTGCCGGGATCACCAGAACCCAGAGGCTGATATCCCAGAGACTTAGGATAGAAACCACTACGACTGGAGAAAAAAAAAAAAAAGGTCAATGTAATGATGCCCAGTGATACTTTGCTATACTCCAGTTATCACCAGAGAGGCTTCATCCAGCAACTGGTGAAGCAGATGTAAAGAACCTCAGCCAAATATTAGGCAGAACTTGGGGAATCCTGTTGAAGAGATGAAAGAAGGATTGTAGAAGGCAGAGGTCTCAAGGACACCACAAGAAGCCCTACAGAATCCTCTACCCTGGGCTCCTAGGGGCTAACAGAGACTGCACTGATAACCAGGCAGGCAGCATGAGACTGACCTAGGCACGTGGCATATTTGTTGCAGCTGTGAAGTTTGATCTTGTGGAACTCCTAGCAGTGTGAGCAGGGGCTGTCCCTGACTCTTTGTTGGCTTTTGTGAGCCTACTCCTCATACTGGGTTGCCTTGGGCAGCCTATTTGGGGAGGTGCCTAGTCTTACCACAATTCGATGTGCCAGGTTTGCTTGATAGCCATGGGAGGCCTGTCCTTTTCTAAACAGAAATTGAGAAGGTGCCAATGGGGGAATTACACTGCCCACGATACTTCTAATACAGCTGTGCCTACAAGAAAATCTAAATCCCTTTCAGGACCTCTATTAGTCTTTAAATCTCACCTCCAAGCGCTTTGGAATTGACAAATATCTTGCTTATATGATTATTATTTATTGAATCCTTGCAAGAACAAAGGAAAACTTTCAAAAACCCGGAAGAAGCTACAGATTCTAGAAAAACACAGAATATTAGTCCTTTATCCAACAGACAAATTCAGGGAAGGTCTTCTATGAGATAGTTACAGTGTTAAATGTAGGGAGTCAAATAAATATATAAGTGTATCATGAAAAGAAAAATCAGAAACCCATACAACAAATACAACTAGCTGTCTGAAGATATTTCCTGTCTGTGACAATAAACTAGGCCGGCAGGAGGGGGATATAATACTTGGGAGGCAGAGTGGGAGTTCTATAGAAATAGAACACAGAGGGGGAAAAAGCAAGTGGATGTGGATCTATTTATGAAAACAAGTCGTGCCGCTAAGCTCGTCACAAAGTAAAGGCTCATCCTCCTCCTCGGGTGTGGCAGAGCTCAGCAATGCAGGCTTTCTTCCCACTCCCAATCACATCATATTGTTTGCCCCCTCTCAAAAGGAATAGGTCACCAGAGCTAGGTCTCAGTTCATTTCTGTATCTATTCTCAGTGAGCGGAACATTTTCGGCTTCACCTAACATGGTGGTAACCATCTTGTTATGTGGCCCATGAAATGGCCTTGCTGGACAGTCTCCTGCCACTTCACTCAAAAATTTTCCTTATTCTATCCCAGCTTTCCCAAAGTCAAAGCTTCTAATAGTTGGTTTTGAGTTTTTTTTTTTTTTTTTTTTTTTTTTGGCATCGTTCTTCACAATTAGAGCTATTACAATTCATATTAACTTTTAACCAGAACAAACGGTTCTGGTTCTAGTTCCAGTGAGTTGATTCTGGCCCGACGAGCATGTTCGCCCATTCCTCTGCAGTGGTTTTTCATGAGTGTTTTCAAGCTCTTTGTTCTGTGGTAACTACAAGCTACGTTAGCCTGGCACTCCTTCACTTGCGTGTTTATCAGCTATTCAGAAAGATAATCTAAATCAGATATCTTACCGTAGCTGAACGTGCTGAGGGTCTTCTTTCTGACAGTGAGGACAGACATATGCCACCCTGCTGTTCTCCCCTAAGCGACACACAGTAATTTTGCAGTGGCATTGACCACAGGTAGGGCGTTTATAAACCTTGTAGTGGTTAGAAATGGCAGATCCTGCTTTACGGCACTAAGAAAGAAAATAAATAAAATTATCACGTTATGCTCAAGACTGTTGTTACGGGGGACAAAGATATAGTCAGGAAATTAAGTCATCTCTGCAAATGTCAGAAATTTGTACGCAGTTCCACATAATAGTTTTTCATCAAAGTAAAAGGTATTGACAAAATTTAGTAATGTCTATCAAATAAGATTTGTGTGAAATAATTGAGTCATTATGTTTTAACTTATTAGTATTCCAAACTGGTCTCGGCTTTATCCTCTTATCTAAATGATATATAAAAGTTCTATATTTTAAAATGTCTTTTATGCTTTTAAGGCTTTCTTAATTAAACATAATTACATGGTTGTAAGAAAAGGGCTAGATTAGCTTCAAATCTGATTGCTTTTAGAACAAGGAAGCTACTCACTCAGTTTCAACGGCAAAAACGTTATTTTTAGGAAATAAAATTTAACGAGAGCATTTTCTTTGTTGGCCTGATAAAGGACTTTTTTTTTTCTTTAACTCTAAAGATTTGCTAGAAAAGAAAATAAAAACTCAAATACTGTCCTCACAGAGAATATGTTCTATTTTGGTATAAGTTTCATTTCAAAAGACATTTTGATTTTTCTGCCATAGTTTTATTCTATATACATGTGTTTCAAGTACCTACAAAGAGAATATTTTCTGTTTCTACCAGGAGTATGAAAATGTAAAAACTCAGAAACATTACTGTATATGGGCTGAAACTACACAAACAACATATATTAATTTAGCAAGGTACGCGAATGCCCAATTTGCTGTGGGTAAAATGGACTGTTTTCTATAGTCATTTTTCTCTGGAAGAATAAATGGGCCTAGGTCACTATAAAATTGCCGTTGTTACAGAAGGTAGCCATGTACTGTAAGAGGTTCATTAACACTTTATGTCAATTAATAAAGACCATTATAATACCGTAATCACGAGCATAGTGAAAACACATGTATTAAATTGTGGTGGTAAAACAGGCTTAGTTATCATCCATTGTTTAAAAGATAAAGCATTTTTACTGAGGTCTACGTGAACATCATACAACTTGCTAATACATCAATTGAGTACTTATATCATCCTTAGAATAGTTTTTGTTGTACATACAGAAATATAATCTCAAATTACAGATTAAAAAACCCCAAGTACTAAATATTATCTAAATAACCTAAACTCTGTATAATCATTGGCAAAACTTGAACAAACCCAAGTCTATTTATCAAGTATGAAGTCTGCCTAAATGCTTGGTGTTTATATGCCCAAATATAAAAAGAATTCAAGTAAACTACTAGCATAACTTAATATAAATATAACTAAATACATTCATAGTGAGGTGAGTTAAGACCTAAAATTTAAGGCACTAATTGCCACTCTTGCTCCCTGAATCTCTGCACTCTTACCACTAGAGGGCTACCTGTGGCCTTAACACCCTGGTAGCATCAAGAGAGAAAACTACAGGCATTAAGATGTGGTTGAAAATATTCTTTCTCACCTTATAAAAGAGAATGCTGAACTCACGGACCATCTTCACAAGGTGACGGAGCTGATCCTCTGACAACTGACACACCTTCATGGGAAAACATTTCATAATTTCTTCACAACTGTAACTTTAAAATTCATGTACATTCTCTTTATTACTCTCTCTTACGCACTCCAATGTTGGGGATCAAAACCAGGGTTTCTACACTTTAGACAAGCCATCTCCCATGCCCTTGGTTGGTCCTTTGCTAGAAAACATCTCCTTAGAAACCTAAGTGATTCTTCAAAAGCTCATTTTTGTCAAGACCTTATCTGTTCTAAGTGTGAAAAAGCATAGCCTAACTTCAAATCATCATTAACTGGTTTGCTTTAAATTTTAATTACCAACGATTTGGATTTTACCAAAACCAGCGGGAATCTATAGGCACAAAACAAATACGGACTAATGTAAAAAACAATTTATGTAACAAGCTTGCTCTACTTTGTAGAAATAGTTGATGCAGTTAAAATTTAGTTAGTAGTAACAAACCCAGGAAAGAGCCTTAAGTGCCAACTTCTTCCCTAGAAGAAAACATGGGGATGGATGCTGCCACTCCAGTCTGTTCCCTCTCAGACCCTAATTAGTTAATCACTATTCTCAGTACGGCTCTCTCTACTCATTCTGTCTCCTAGAAAAATGAGAGTTCCGGTCTCTCCAGTAGGAGAACAAACAACAAACCAAATCCGTTCCGTGTCCTGGTATCCTACTCTAGAGGTCTAATGAGTTTCCCTTCAGGCCTATCTAAACTAAATGAACGAGGGCTGGGAATTTTGTTTTTTTTGCCCTCCGCTCCTTCATTCTTTAGTCCCCGCTACCTGAGTTTCATCTTTATCGTTCACCAAAAGTCTTTGTCTGTTACTCGCAACTATAAATGTGAATTCATACATGTGTTGTAGAAAATATATTTCATATGCCAGATAGAAAAAAAAATAAACAGTAAGCCTAATTCATCTATTCATACATTCCACAAATATCTTTCTAAAGCTAGGCACTGTGCTATTTCAGTATTTCAGTGGAACATCACTGCAGAGAAGACACTTGCCCTCCTCATAGGTGACATTCCAGTTGGAAGAGATACTGTTTTTGTTGTTGTTGTTTAAAACAGTAAGTGTAATGAGTAAAATATCTTTGAAAGTAAAACTAGTACAAGGTATAAGGAAAATAAAATCAAAGCAAGCTAAGGACTCCTGAGGGTAGCAACTAAGACCTGCAGTTCTCACAGGAAGTCAGAGATGGCCACACCAAGAAGCTGACCCTTAAAGCCAAGACCTAAAAAATGCCTGGAGTATGTAGAGAATATGTTGCTACACCACAGATTTCTGTTTCTCGTTGGGTCCTTACGGCATTTAAAAACAAGCTCAAAACGAATTTGACAATACTTATACTTTAACAGCTGGATGGAGACCGCTGTCAAAGAGAGCTTCGTTCTTGATGATGTTCCCGACACCAGGCAGAACTCTCTGATCTAGGATCACATCACACAGCATCCGATCTCTCTGCTTTTTCACTTCACTTTCTGCTCTTGAGAAACTGAATTTTGGTGAACACACATCCAGTTCTTCCATCGTTCTTACTCTTTGTTGGCTTTCCATTGAATTTCTATAGAACCAAGTATATAACACATTAAGCATAGGTCTGCTTTGTAAGTTTAGGGTGGGCTTTGATATAAATACAAGCACTTTATATAATCTATGGCATGTGAGTTCTTTGGATGAACAGTTGTTGGAATATATTGCTAGTTGGTTAGAGGTCACAGACACCATAAGCCTAGCAGGTTTTTCCCTAAGCTTTGGCAATGTGGAAGTCCCTCAGCAACCAGCAAAGCTTCCTGCTCTTTACCTGCCCTTATCTGGAGAATGTCCTTGAGCCTACAAGACAAACCTTATCTGAAAAGTCTCTCCAAATCAGATGCCTGTCTCTAAACAAGATGCATGATTCATCTTTAGCCTGATCCTTGGCACAGATCCCTGCTAAAAAGGCTTGTGCTAAGGAGCTCTGCTATTATAAGACCCTACTGCCACAGACTAAGCCTTGTGATAGGAGCGTGCCACTTCATGCAAATTAGGGTTTGTCCCCAGGTTCCCCAATCCTATATATTATACTCTGGAACAACTTTGAGCTGATTCACTGAAAATCTGTTTCCTGGAGGGCTATCTTTGTTAACGCTCATGGGATGTGTACACAACTTTCTGTCATCCCTTCTGTCTCTTTTCCCTTTCAACCTGGTAGACAAAATGCAAGAGGGCAAGAGGGCCCCCACAAACAGTGACGACCCTAATAATAATATTTGACGCTTCCTTTACAATAACATTTTATTGATTATAAATTTTTTTGTTAAGTAACACGTGTGATGTTGAAACCAAGCTACAAATACCAGCTATGCTGTTATGCAGCTAAAGTACTAAGTACCCTTCTCAGAATCTTCCTCTATTAATATTCATCCTCTGTGCAGTAATTTTAGTATCTCTGCTAGTTCTTCTCTCATCTAACCCCCCCCCCCCACACACACAAGTGTAGGGGCATGGCAAGTTCAGTTGAAGAACAAGAAACAAAAACAACTCCTTGTCCTGGTATTTCAATTTTAGTTTCTATTAAATAGTTAATTTTTTTTTTTTATTTACCTGAGTTCTACTGAAGAGTCAAAGAAACAGATCAAGTCACTGGTGAGCTGTACTTGGAAAGCCGGAGAAACTCCACCTCTATTTTCACACTCACGTGGGTTAATCAAGACAGACCCATTCATCCCGAAATGAATCCTGAAATAGAGTCAACCCGTTTTTTGAGTAACAGAAGCATATCATGTGTCACGCTATTTACCTTTTAAAATTATAAGCAAACTAATGCCACACAGGGTAGTTACTGTTAAAGAGGAGGAAGAAGAGACGGCTACAACGCTAAAATCGCTTCCTGGAGAAACTGGAAGGCCCCAACACTTAGCCCTCGAGTCAGATAAAATATCTTTGTTCAAATAGTCTAACATCATTCCATACTTATTCAAAAGCATAAGCCAAAAAAAATGATTATGGCTTGTTTATATATTCTACAAAGCCACTAACATTCAGAATCCTTAGTTTAGTCACAGAGAATTAGAAGTTTGTAAAACATGATCTACAGTTTAATACATGTGTCTCTTCCCCACTGTTTGAGCTAAGCATTTTACATACACATACACAGATAGATAGATAGATAGATAGATAGATAGATAGATAGATAGATAGAGATAGATAGATGATAGATAGAGATAGATAGATGATAGATAGATACATAGATACATAGATATAGATAGATAGATAGATAGATAGATAGATAGATAGATAGATAGATACCTGTGATAGACAAAGATGGAGAGAGGACAAGTTAAAACTTGGTGCAATTCTTTTCATTTTCATTTACTTTTATACATATTGGGAAGAAGGGATTTATAAATATTTACAGTTAACTTCAAAGCTACAATGGACTGATGAAAAATTCATAACCTTTCAGATTTTGTAGAACTGATTAGCATGTCCAGTTAAAAAGAAATGATTTTGTGGGACCTCCGATGAAGATCAGAAATTATCCTCAAGATGAAATACTGCACTCTGCCTTTCAGATCTGTTTCCTTATGGCTTTGTTGAGTTAATAAATATGGTTCTCCTGGCAGCAAACGTTACTGCTCTTTGCTTCTAATTCCACAGCACCGCGTTACAGTATTGGACAAGGTTAACAAGTCTAACTTTTAAAATGTGGGTTTTAAACTCTGTGTGCCCTACTATCAATCATAAATGAATTTTACATGCCCCATAGTTCTTGACAGGAAAAATGTGTGCCTGTAAGTACTTCATAATTTAGCTTATGGAGGTTCAGCCTCAGTGAAAGGTGTACAACTGTCATGCCCAGAAGCCATCATATCTAAAATCTTTTCAGCTGCATGGCTCATAAAGTGGATTCTAAATCACTTTCCATAATGAAACCACATCCACATCAAAAACCTCAAAGGTTAAGAGCCATGTCAAAAGCAGGAGTAGCCCCAGTAAGAACTACAAAGAAAGCAGGTGCACTTCTGTCTTGCAAACACGTTCCACTTAGGGGCAAGATACACATAAAAGTGCTTTATCTTGTATTAATTTGCATTTATACCATTAAATAGCTAACTATTGTGATGACTGAGCTCCAATCAAAGAATAAATGCCTCTGCATTGTTACTTACCTTTTAGAAGAGGAATAAATCGCTTCATGAAAATCTTCGAGGCACAGCAAGCACCCATGTTGTTAAAGCAACGGACACTGAGGTTTTATGGCTCATGGGGCCATATTACATTCAGAAAAGAGGTTTTAAGAGGAAGCCACCATTAACAAAATAGGTAAGTAGAAAAGCTAAATTTTGCAGGAAAGTTTTAAATGTCATGTGTGGAGTATTGTGATGGTTTATAATCCCTGCCTGATGGAGGAGCTGGGTATGAAAAAGGATGCACCAGGCCAGGAGACTGAAAAGGCCTGTCTTTTAAATCGCTGAAGCATCCTAATGAAACCCTGTCTGCTTCTGGAACACTTTTCTGACATGAAGCAGAAGAACTGAGTGAATGGAAGAAAACACTGCCTCTCTCTGCAGACAGGAAACCTCCTCTGCCCAAGCAGCATGTTTGGCCCTAGTTTACAAGATTTAAAAGCCTTAATGGGATAAGATAGGAAACCCTTTGCTCCGAGGGGAAGGAGGGCTCTAAAGTGCACTTGCTGTTAAGGAAGAGTGAGGTGGAGACAAAAGCTATCATAGTTCCCCTGAAGTGAACCAGCAAGCTAATGTTGGCACAGAATCCAGAAGAGAATGTTCCTTCTCCTTCAGGAAGAGAAAGGGGCAAATCTGGGCCCCAAGAACACCCACAGAAGCCATGAGAGAGACTGCCTGCCAAGGCCAGGAGAAAAGCTGCCACCTGTGGTTCGCACAAAGCCCTGTTGTGAAGAAACCTCGCCTCCATCGTTCTTAGAAGACTTCCATAGGGTAACTTCAACAGTGGTCTACTGCTAGGGAAGGGAGAGTAGGAACCTGTGGCATGAATTTCCAGGGTTGGCTGAAAGCTAGAAATGGGGCAGAAACAAGGAGAAACCATCACCATCACCCATGCAGCAATGATGAGAGCTGGATCATTTCCTTTTCTTATTTTCTCAAATGTTCAAAATTAATTATTAATGTTTAAAATGTTTGCAGAAAGGGAGAAAAGTTTGCAAGACATGTAAAGACCCAGAAAACAAAACTAGAATGAAGAATGGCAGGGCCCGGTGTGGTGGCACAGACCTTTAACCCTAACATTTGGGAGGCAGATACAGGCGGATCTCTACATTGAGGCTAGGCTGGTCTACACAGTGAGTTCCAGAACAGCCAGGGCTACACAGCGAGACTAGTCTCAAGATAATAACAACAACACAACAGCTGGAGGAAAAGAATGAAACAACTCACCTACCTTCACAAGAACAGGTAGAAGGAAGCACAGAAGTCACTCCACAGATAGGCAGGAGCAGCCAGAAAGCAGTCTTATAGGTATGGAAGCTCCGTGATGTAAGCAATACCCCCCCACACACACACACCACACACACAACCTTAGCCCACGACCTGAGTGCACAATATGGAAACAGACCCCAAGAGACCCCCTGCGTGACTAACTGTCCATCCCTGGAAGTGACCAGAATCTAAATGGTCCCTGGTCCTGCCAGAGTGTATGGAAGTGCTGGAATGCAGGAAATAAACATTGCGGTTGTATATAGCAGGTAGTTATGCTATTCAATTCTGAAGTTTAAGCTCAGACCCTGGCATATTCTGGTTTTATCCCTGAGCTACAAACCAGCCTTTCTTTCTTTCTTTCTTTCTTTCTTTCTTTCTTTCTTTCTTTCTTTCTTTCTTTCTTTCTTTCTCTCTCTCTTTCTCTTCCTTCCTTCCTTCCTTCCTTCCTTTGTTCCTTCCTTCTTTCCTTCCTTTCTTTTTGAGACTTCACTTGTTCAGACTATCTACTATCTTAGCGCTTTTGATTCCCCTGCCTCAGCCTTCTGAGTGGCTAGGATCACAGGCATAAGCCAGAAGGTCCAGTTACGAGAGTGTTTTTGTTTCTAGAATACTGCTGATCACTTTTTAGCATGTGATAGGACCTTGTAGGCCTCCGACAGTAGCCTGAAGGTTTCAGCCTCTTTGTTTGGCAGGTTCTTGTTGGGGTGCCGGCTTGCAATACACCTCATTAATTTCCTTGAAGTAAGTAAGCATTTGACCTCACACCTTGCAAATGGTAATAATTTACCAGTGTAGTAGAGGGGACTAGGTGGATTGATGATGTAATCTGCAGCTCAGTGTGATGAAGCCTGGCAGCTGATGAAGTCACCAAGGCCCAGGACAGAAGCTGACTGTTGTAGGTATTCTGAGGGGTGGAGCCTGATGGGCAACTATCTCTAGGAGCAGGGCTAACACCGATGTCACAAAGAACCCTTTCAGAGGTAGAGCCCATTTCACAGCCTGCAGCTACTGCTTAGCCCAGACTAGCACCCCCCACAAGGACAGGAGGTAAAAAGAAGGGAGGAATACATTTTCCCAGGGTTCCCTGGGAAGTCCAAGTGGGCATAGAAGGACAGATGGATTGGGTCAGTAAATGGCAGGGGCCTTCACTCTCTCCTGGTCTCTCCTCTAAGAATAGAACTGCCCCCTTTTCCCCATCAGCCTCAGCTTCCCTAGATTTGTGAACACAATCAATGTTAGGGGAGCAGGGGTGGGAGTAGAAGGATGCGGATATGCTTACTGCCTGCCCAGGTCCATCTATCTCAGTGCATCTCACGAGCAGCCTTTAGTCCTACAGGAAGAGGACCTGGAGGGAAGGTGCTCGCCCCAAGCCCCGAGAGGGGTATTAGAAGGAAAGACCCTTCCTTACTAGATGGGCTTTCAGAGGACACTGGACCTGCCTCATGTTGTTCTTCCAGCAGATCTGTAAGGAGCTGGAGTTCTGAAGTTACTAAAGCAGTGGAAAGCAACCACAACCCACCAAACCCAATGAACACTTAACTACTTACTAGATTCACCCTAAAGTCTCAACAGAAAAGTCATTTCCATTTCTAAGCTTAAATATTTATGTAAGGCTCTTCTAGACATTTTATCTAAGATTTTATACATATGTGTATATTCATATATACAACATAATACAATGAATATTGATATGGGATTCTCCTCTGTATGCTACAAATACATTTATTATCACTGGTTAATAAAAAAAGCTTCTTTGGCCTGTGGCAGAGCAGAACAGAGCTAGGTGAGAAAACTAAACTGAATGCTGGGAGAAAGAAACTGGAGTCAGAGACACCATGTAGTCACTGCAGGAGATGGATGCCAGAATCTTACCAGGTCATGGTAAAATACAAAATAATAGAAATGGGGTAATTTAAGATGTAAGAGCTAGCTAGGGATATGCCTAAGCTATTGGCCATGCAATGTTGTAATTAATAGTGTTTCTATGTGATTATTTTGGGTCTGAGCAGCTGGGAACAAACAAGCAGGCTCCATCTACAGCATATATATACTTATACATGTTTATGAGATACACAAAAATTAAAAGATTGAATATCTACTATGATATAGGTGTCAAACAGTAATTTTAATTAAAAAGAATAATTAAAACACTAATAGTTATTTTGTTATATAATACTCATTGACATATTAAATTAAGACACCTGAATAAATGAGAAATTTTAAGATATAAAACTAAAAAACATCAGAGATAAGGAGTCTCCTCAATGAGCAGATCAAGAA